GCAGCAGCAGCAGCAGCAGCAGCAGCAGCAGCAGCAGCAGTAGTAGTAGTAGTGGTAGGAGGTAGCAAGCTAGCAGCAGCAGCGCCTGCTGCTGCAGTGCTCCTTCCTGGTGTCTCACTGCCGCCATCTGCTGCTCCTGCTGCTGCTCCTGCTGCTGCTCCTGCTGCTGCTCCTGCTCCTGCTGCTGCTGCTCCTGCTGCTGCTCCTGCTGCTGCGCCTGCTGCTGCTGCTGCTGCTGCTGCTGCTGCTGCTGCTGCTGCTGCAGGGGGACAGCGGCTTCTTGAGTTTGCGGCTGCTGCCGCTGGAGACGCAGCTGCTGGCTTTTGCTGCTGACGGCTCTGCCCGCCTCTTCAACTGCCGCACCGCCGACTGCGCAGCGCAGCTGCCGCCTCTCCACACCGACAAGGTGCAGCTAGCTAGCTAGCCATGCGCAGCTAGCTGGCTAGCTAGCTGGCTAGCTAGCTAGCTAGCTGGCTAGCTAGCTAGCTAGCCAGCCAGCCACGGACAGCTAGCTAGCTAGCTAGCTAGCTAGCTAGCTGCCTGCTAGCTAGTTAGCTAGCTTTTTGTGGCTAACTAGCTAGCTAGCTAGCTAGCCACAAAAAAGCTAGCTAGCTTGCTGGCTAGTTAGCTAGCCACGGGGCAGCTGGCTAGCTAGCTAGCTAGCCAGCCAGCTAGCTAGCCATCTATGCAGCTAGCTAGCCAGCTAGCTAGCCAGCTACCTAGCTAGCTAGCCAGGCAACTAGGTAGCCAGCCACCTAGCTAGCTAGCCACCTAGCTTGCCGGACAGCGAGCTAGCCAGCCACCTAGCTAGCCAGCCAGCTAGCTAGCTAACTAGCCAGCCAGCCAGCCAGCTAGCTAGCTAGCTAGCTAGCTAGCTGGGCGAGAGTGCTGCGTGCAGGTGTGGGCGCTGGACTTGTGGGGCTGCGCCGCGGCTTCTGCGGGGGCCGATGGGCGTCTTTGTGTGTGGCGAGATGTTACTAAAGAAGCAGCAGCAGCAAAAAAGGTACTTTGCTGCTGTGCTGCAGCTAGCTGGCTAGCTGGGGACAGCTAGTTACGGCTAGCTAGCTAGTTCAGGACAGCTAGCTGGCTGAAGCTCGCGAGGCAGGTGCAGCCGGCTCGCTAGCTAGCTGGCTAGCTAGCTAGCTGGCTAGCTAGCTAGCTGGCTAGCTAGCTAGCTGGCTACAGCTGGCGAGCTAGTTAGGCAGCTAGCTAGCTAGCTAGCTAGCTAGCTAGTGGCTGGTAGAGGAGTGGACTTTGCCGTC